TGGGGGGGGGGACACTGGGAGCAAGGGAAGGGGGGACAGGGCCAAAACCCCTCCAAGGGCGAGGGTCTGGGCACTGCCCCCATGTCCCACTCGGCCCACAGGCATTGCTCTTCCTTTGGGTGCCCCCTTTTGGGGGGGCCCAGCCTCCCCTGTCCCCTCCCAGCACCCAGGCAGAGCAGGGGTCTGGGCTGTCCCTCCTTTTGGGGCCCAGCGGTCCCCCCCTTGCAGCAACATCCCCTCAGCAGGGATAAGCAGCCTCCCCACAAACCCTCCTCCTCCTCCTCCCCATCCTCCCCTGGGTTTCGGGTTGTTTTGGGTGATTTTTTGGTTTTTAATTCAGCCCCATCTGCCTTGTTGGAGCAAAAGGAATCAATAAACGCAGCAAGCTGAGCTGGTCCCCATAAGAGAGGGGGAAAGGGGGGGCAGAAACACCCCTTGTGCCCCCAGCCATGAGGTCCTGTCCCAGGCTGTGATGCCAGGGGGTCCTATAAGCATCCTAAATCTCACCCCCCAGGACCACCAGGGCAGGGACACAGGAGGTCACCCACAGGGGGTGCTTGCTGGTCCTGGGGTCTTTACCCCCCCCAATAAAACCCCAGCAAGGTCCTGGTGGGTGACAGCAGCGTGCCCACACAGTAGGGACACAGCTGTCACCCATGGGGATGCTCTCACAACCCCAGCGTGCAGGGAACAGGGATGGAAACCCCTGCCCTAAGAGGCAAATAAGATTTGCTTTTATTTAAGAAAATAAGAGAAATACCCCCCTGGAGTCCCGGGCCCAGCTGGGGCAGCACCCACACTGGGGGAGGCCCTCGTAGTGAAGGGAGGGGGCACGGGCAGAGTTTGCTCCCAAAATGTCCATTGCCCCCCTGGAGAAGCAGCAAGGTCCATGTGTGCCCTCACAGGGTCCATGTCCAGGGGTTGCCAGGGGACAGGGCCACCCTGAGCAGGGGGAGAGGTCCAAAGGCAGGGTCCTGACGTGTCCCCATGCCATGCAGATGGGGAAGGGGACGCTGTGCGTGACTGATGGCGAGGAGCAGCAGACCCCAGCTGCAGCAGGGCTGGGGAGCCCAGGCAGGCACACAGAGAAGCCCCCGGGGGTTTAGTCCTCACCAGAGCCCCCAGCTCCCATCTCCTGCCCCACCGAGCCCCCCAGGGCACCCCATCCTCGCCAGTGTCCGTGAAGGCAGCAGCAGCATCCATCCAGCCTCAAGGGATGTGTCCCCCCAGGGTCACAGCAGCAGGCACAGATGTCCCCTCAGAGTGGCTGCGGGTGCAGAGCAGGGCCGGGCTGGCCTTGTCTCCGTGCAGGGAGGCAGAGCGCAGCACGAAGGCACTTGGGCTCCGCAGAGCCGAGCAGGGGTCCCTGGCCCA